AAGAAGTCATTCAGCACCATGTGCCTTTTTCTTGACAGCTCACAGGCTTCTTAAGGGAAAAATCGAAACCAAAAACAATAACCCTTTACTTCACCATGTGCGCCTTCCAGTGCTGCTGTTACCCCCTCCTTTTATTACCAAGATTCTAGCAAGAAGGGGCTTTATTTGCTTCCTGTTAATTTCCACAGCCGCTTCAGTTTGGCTGTGGCCAATATCTGTTCTAACTGTCACCAACACATACTGAACTGACACACCCAGTGACTTATTTCCAGTCTTCATGCTACTCTATGTCTTTACAGTATTTGCCACCATCTTCTTGAATTTTCCCTTACTTCCCAGTGGAGTGAGGTAAGTAGAAGTCCTATAATACACAGCACAGTCTCCAATAACAAAAAAAATTATTGGTGTCCTATATAATCTTTCAATGTTCCACAGTCATTTGTATAGGTAAAAAAAAATCTGTTTACTGAGCCTCAATGCTGGATTTTACATATAAACAGATGTTCACTTCTGTACATTTTAATATTCATTAAAATATGCAGAAATTTAGCTACCTTGTAAACTGAGAGATAATTAACTTGTTTAGTTTGGACCTTCACTAAGAATTGTTTACTGTTTCAGAAAATTATATCTTCAACGACACACTGTGTGTATATAGCATGGCTATGTCAGTCAACATTTGTTATGCTATCACAATCATGAGATTTCTAGGTATATGAATGTTAATATATGCATATATATACATATCTACCTGCATATATGTATGCATACACATATATACCTATATAAGAACATATATAAATTCAATGCTTGTATTAAAATGAAAATATAAAATAAACTAATATTCAGTTTAATATTGAATTTTTATTCAAATATGGACTTCCTCGTTGTAAGTAGTTATAAGCATCTGATAATTTCATTATGTCATTTAACATAGACATGCCTGAAGTATTTATATATTCAACTGGGTATTTTATTATGAACACATTTCTTTTATTTCTTCTTTATATTAAGAGTGGGTATTATATATTGTATTTATTAAATTATGTGTATAAAAGACAATACTATTTATGACTTGTATTTAACAATAATAAAAGGGGGCTTTATAAAATATTTGCTATATGGGGTCTGATAGGACTGGGACCCAACACTTTATAGATCAGGAACCCTCCCATGCTCCATGTCCCCCTGTGCACGGCACTATGAAAGCATTTACTGGACAGTATTCTATCTGCTCATCTGATGCTGTCTATTGTAGACTGTAAGATCCAGACAGCGAGGTCCTTGTCCTACTCTATTTTTGTAAATGCAGTGTCTAGCATGTTGGCAATAGATGGTTCTCAGTAAATGTTTATAGAATGAATGAACCTACTCAAGTAGAGGTTACCAGAGCACTTTCTGAAAATGTAAAAATGAATTAAGTCAATTCTCATTAAAATTTGTGAAAAAATTACATGAAACTCCAACTAGTAAGGTGATACAATTGAGCTAATGCTTCTTTACAGTAGAGTAGATGGCTCTGAGTCTTATCAATCTGTCTTGATGCCCACTTTTGAGGGTCTCTGAACTTAGGCTAACTCTCCCAGTCACCTCTAGGGTACCCTAGTTTGAAAAACATTGTACTGGATAATCTTTCATTAAAGTGACCTCTAGCTTAATGATTTTAGGATTTGCCATTTAATTTTGGGTCAAAAATCCCAAAAAGTTTTCTCTTTTTCATATTCATGTGATGAAACTTCCAAAATTAGTTTCTTTGAATATAAGAACTCTTTTCTCTGGAAGCATTTTTCTTCTTTTTTTTTTTTGCCAGAAACAAAAATGGATGCTGAATGTTTTTAATACTCATACTACATTACACAATACACTTTTGGAAAAGTATCATTCTGAAATACCGCTAGGTATTGAAAAGCCTAATTAAAAGTCTCATTATAGGGGTGTCTGGATGGCTCAGTCAGTTAAGCATCTGGCTCTTGGTTTCAGCTCAGGTTGTGATCTCAGGGTTCTGGGATTGAGGCTCTGGTTGGGCTCTGTGCTCAGCAGGGGGTCTGCTTGAGGGTTCTCTCCCTCTGCCTGACCCCCCAGCTCTCTTTCTTTCTCTTTCTCAAATAAATAAATCTTTTTTAAAAACCTGATTTTAGTTATTTAGTATAGTTTGTAAATTAAAGAAGTATCTTCATCATTACTCTTGAAAAATGTATAAAGTAGGCCAATTCATCATTAGTTTTGTTGTTACCTTTTATAGCCAACTCAGCCCAACAGCTGACACCCTTATCCCCTCTACTTGCTATCCATGATACATACTTCTCCCTACAGTATGCCCCATGCTCTTATCCTTTGTAATACAATAACTGGCCTCAAAATATTTCCTTTCTGTCTCCAATTTCTTCAAGATTCCTAGAAAAGTAGCCAATCTACTATCATAGGATCATAGACATGCAATAAGTATTTGCTGAGCAGATGATAGTTATTTGCAGATTACTGTGGTAACATGTAAGTTTAAGGGAGACTTTATTAAGAAGCAGAGAGACTGGGCAGCCTGGCTGGCTCAACAGTTTAGTGCTGCCTTCAGCCCAGGGCGTGATCCTGGAGACCTGGGATCGAGTCCCATGTCCGGCTCCTTGCATGGAGCCTGCTTCTCCCTCTGGCTGTGTCTCTGTCTCTCTCTGTGCCTCTCATGAATAAAGAAATTAAATCTTAAAAAAAAAAAGAAAAAGAAACAGAGACTTTAATCCAAAGGAATGGGAAGAAGAAGAGGAGTAACCTTTGACAAACATTTACTATGTACCTGGTACTGAGTTAGTCTCTTTACATATACTGCTTTATTTTTAAAAAATCACAAGAAGATACCTTTCACCATTTGACAGAAAAACAAATGCAATCTTAATGAGTTAAGTATCTTGCAAAAATATAGAACATAAGTAGCAAAGGGGAGAGTCAGACCCAGGTCTGTCTAAGTCCAAAGCCAGAACTCTTCCCATTATCATGTCACATCCAAAAAGAATGAGGACAAGCTTTGGGAACACGGGGAGTCCATGAAAGCACATAGGACTGGAGAACTGGCAATTGTTTTTTTTGAGGCAAACTTCATCTTTTCTTTGATGCTACATGGAAAAGATAGTCCAGACACCATTTTCCCCAGAGACTATTTCATCCTATACTAATGTGAATGAATCACAATTAACTTTTGTTTCAGCTCTCTTGAAGTCCTGCCTGAAACAGTGATTATCTAAATTATATATTAATTATATATTTTAATTTTATTATTTTCAAGTGATATAGTAACTGGAATTAAAATACTCAAATGTTGCATCCTAGAAATTCTACCCTAATGGTTTTAATCAGTATTTCCAAATACTGGTTTGACTGTTATTGATTAAATCTCAGCAGTAAATCAACATTCTCTAACAATCTTATTTACCTATTTATTTGTCCACCCATTTTTTTTATTTCACCAAGTTGAAATTTAATTTGCTATTGGTGTACATTTTTTAAATTTAAAAGAGTGAGATGGATCACCCATTGTCAGAAACTCATAAAGATAAATATCAAGAAATATTCTGTTTTCCTGCCTCTTAAGTAACAACCAAAGTTATGAGTATTTAACATGAAACATTTAAGTAGTTTAACTGTAGCTAACTTTTTAAAAAATTATTTTTGTAAGAGCTTCACATGTTTTATCTCATTAGAGCCTCAAATTAAAAATAAATAAACCAATGTAAGAGGGAGGTCATAGTATTATCCTTACAGACAAGGAGAGTCAGGTTTGAGGCTTTGTGTAAGGTTTGTAGAATCCAGGAAGAATATATTGCTCAATTGCCTTGCTCTTTTTAAAAAATATTTTATTTGTTTATTTGAGAGAGAAAGAAAAAGCATGAGCTGAGGGAAGAGCAGGGGGAGAAGGAGAGGGAGGGAATCTCTCAAGCAGACTCCTCAGAGCCTGATGTAGAATTCAACCCCAGGACCCTGAGATACAACCAAAGCTGAAACCAAGAATCTGATGCTTAACTGACTGAGCCACCCAGATGCCCCTCGATTGCCTTATTCCTAACTGCCCAGAGTTCAACAGACATTATCTATAGGAAAGAATTAATTATAAACCAATTGTTCTTTTGGGCAGAGGAAGATTCTCTTATCCTGAAGCCTTAATTGGTCAGGGAGCAAACATCTGCAGGAGGCATTTGGATCTTTGATCTCCTCTTAAAAATGGGGTTCTCAGAAAAGTACCCTTAATTTTTAAAATTCAACACATTGAGGTTATCTTTCTCAAGCTATGCCCTTAGAACTACTTTCACATCTTCTGTAAATCTTTCCATTGTAGAATCCAGAAAGATTATTTACAATAAAAAAAATAGTGGTAATTAAATGGAGGGACTTTAGGAGAATTTAACTTCTTTTGGATCAAAGAACACTTTAAGAATCTGATTAAAGTATGGATTCTATTCAGAAAATGCATTGTATGCGTACTTGTCAACTTCCTTGAAGTTTCCAACTTTATAAGAAAATGGGAACACAAGAAGTACTTTCCAAGCTGGATATTATTTAAGAGAAAGAGTTTTGAACAAGACATTTTAGAAGATGCATGTTCCACATAATTTGAACATAAAATAAGCTCCTGCTGTCTCAAACCACAATTATGAGTCAAGAAAGAAAGAGACATCTTCATCTTTGACAGTTTTATAACCATGAAATTAACATGTAGAGATTTTACAGCCTGAAAATGTTAGTTATGTGCTATGAAACACTTTCCCAAAACTTTGCTTTCTTGGTTAAAAGATAATCTCTAGTGCTTCTTAACAAAAATAGAGAGAATTGTGAAGTATTTGCAGTGCCAAAATTGTCCCATTTCATTTTATAGCATTTCCAATGAAATGAATTTCATCTCTGAGATATGAGAAGTTTATAAAGCAACCACTTGTGGGTTTTTTTTTTTTTGCAGTTAAAATAGATTCACTTTTATAATCGCAATCTTTCAGAAAATAAGAATTTTATGCAGCTCTTACCTCATCAGAACCAGATCCAAAAATCAGCAAGTCAAAAGGAATTGCTGCAACCATGTCGATCAGGAACCAGCCTTTGAAGTAGTGTATTGCTATTTTGGCTGGATCACTTACCACTTCTTCATTCTGATTTACATATGTTGTTCTGAAGTTTATTAGAATATCTATGATGAACATAATATCCACAATCAAGTCCACCACATTCAAAGGGCTACAAGAATAGCCACATTCTCGTCTTTTCTGTTCTTCTCTGTCATTGAGGAGAAAGGCTGCGGAGTAGGGCGTGAATATAGCAGTGTATATGACCAATAGCAGAATAAGCCAATCCCAGACAGCCTTGAAGGGGCTGTAGTGCAATATTGTAAACTTGTTGATGCGTGGGGTCTGCAGTTTATACTCTGGCAGGACATCTGCTCCTAAAGAGAGAACCTGAACAAAAAAAGAAAATGGGCACACTATGTAAAAATGTCATTATTTAATCTCCTAACCTATAAATATATTAAGGCAATTATACATCAAAATCTATTAGGCAAGATGCATGTAATTGTGAAGTGTGTGTGAAAAACATACATTTAAAGCCCCAATATAAACCCCCACTTTGCAATATATTTGACTCCAGAAAACTCCATTGGTATTTCTTTTTTTTTTTTCCCATTGGTATTTCTTGATAAATACGACTTTCAATGAAAAGTAATGAATACTGTCACTGATATAGCAAGGAGTGGTTACTTATTTTTTTTTAACATACTACTACTCAGAAATAAAAATACATAGCTGTTTTTAGAAAATCATAAAATCAGTCTGATACACGAGTAATTCAGTTTTAAAACCTTAGAAAAGATTGTATGTAATGAATAGAAGCAGCCTACTTGGATCCATGTTCATATTTAATTTACATATATTTAATTCATAATTAAACCTTGATAAATCCAACTCATTCAAATCTTTAATTTGAATTTTTCCACCTGCAATCTGTTTTTAACGTAGAAAAAAAGGCACATGAGATTAAAATAAACACAAAGGACTCTTTTTGAGGTTGAGAAAATATTTTATATTCTGGGACAAATGTACTTTCACCCAAACTCCTCCATCACATTTACAGAATCATAAAGAGAGAATGGTGCAAGGAGATGTTCAGAATATTGATCTGGAAATGTTGCAAGATTATTAGCACCAATGGGCACTTAAGCCCTGAGATTTATTCTACATGATGAGACATTGGGTAGACCAAGATAGTTCATCTTTTGATAGATCATCAAAATAGTTTATCTGAAAAAATGAGAACTAAATTTGAATTATGAGGTGCCTGGATCCGGGAGTCCTGGGATCCAGTCCCACATCCGGCTCCCCATGGGGAGTCTGCTTCTTCCTCTACCTATGTCTCTGCCTCTCTCTGTGTGTCTGTCATGAATAAATAAAATTTAAAAAAATAAACTTGAATCACAATGTGGTAAAAAAGCTCATGAGTTGGTAACTCTAGACTAAGTTTCAAGAACAAAGGTCAAAGCAAAAAGATTATCTTGCTACCCAAAAAATGTAATTAGTCTTAATATAGGGGTTTACAAAAACTGAAATTTTTAGATGGCTCCACAAATGGCACATAGAGACATGTTTTAAGGGAGCGGTGGGTTCTACTCTTGCATTATGAATATCCCACATATATGCAATGGCTCTATGTCAGAGTTAATCTCACTAAATAAATTTTCTTAGGCTAGATTCTCCTAAATACAGCTAATGTATTATCAGCTCTGCAGGAAGAACTTCAGACAATTCCCTACTGATTAGTCAAAGAGTGTTATTTCTGTGTTCTTGTAATTCTATCCCTGTAGGTTTTAACTTGATTATAACGATATATAGGCAAATTTCAATTTTAAATCTTATTTTCATTGTCATATCACATACATTTTTTCGTATATAATGAGTTACCATTCTTATCTTAAAAAGAACTTGAGAAGTTTAATAACCACAAATGAGGTACATGATTTTTAAATGTAATAGAAGAGTTCAGTGAAAATAGATGAAAGTGTTTTAAAATAACAGCTAACCTGATTTAACTTGCTTTGAAAAAAATAATAATATAGAAATAACCTTTTTTTTTCAGTCCAGAGCAAATTTCAACAGGAAATAGATCTTTATTCTAAGCTATTATAAGAAAGGACTGAATTATCAGTAAAAAAGAAATCTGGAAAATAAAGTTGTTCATTGTTTCTGAAATATTGAATATATTCAGAATCTAAGATCTCAATCTCTAACTCTAAAGAGGAATAATGTTTGGAAAGTCTGTAAATTGATTAGTGCAGACTGTTAGAACTCCAATCATGTTATGCTCAGTACCGAAAATCAGCCCATATAACATTTTGGTCTGGAAAAAATGGATCATCTCTTAAGGTGACATTATGTAATATCCTTTCCTTAAAACAGACAAACAAACAACAAACAAACAAACAAACAAGATTCAGAGTGTAGAAAGTAAAATCCAAACCCTCATTTTGCCTCTCAAAAATCATCTAAAATATTGGACCCATTCTACCTTTACAGTTCCTTCTCACAGTAGATTCTTTTATGTACTCTGACAAAACTTGGCTAAAATTTTTGAACTGTTGAGAAATTTCCAAACCCTAAATTCACAAATTTCTTTCATTAAAAAAAAGAGTATGTAATTATTCAAAGAGAACCAAAAAAAAAAAGTTATTCTTAAAAAGAGGGATATTTGTCTGAGTTTGATCCCAGCTTAAGTGATATGCCCCTAATAACAATCTCACACATAGGGCACTTTGAATCCTTGTTTTAGCAGAAGTAGAAGTTAGAATACATTCAGCCCCATGGAACATCCCCCAAGAAGTGAAAACTGGATGGAGCCCTTTCCACTCCACATATGCGAGCATTCCTTTAACAGGTGACCACTTTGCTTAGGGCTGGAGACTGAAAAATTAGGAAGATACTGTCACTGACATTGCAGTTTATGGTCTACTGGGAGAAAAAGACATGCAGGCCAAGGATTCGAAGCCCTGCTGGGTGAGGTCCATCCATTCCTGGGTTGGTGGTGGTGCTCATGAAGGGGGTGGTCTCCACAGAGGCTTTCAGGGAAAGATGTCACTTGAATTGATATTTTGAGTAGGGGAAAGAAAAGAATGCAGTTGCGGGGATGAGGAAATTGGAAAGGGAAGAATATTATAGGCAGAGGGAACAGAATGAACAAAGGTAGGGAGGCATGAAATGATGTGTTGTGTGTTGAGGAATTATAAGCTGCCTTATGCTGTAGATAGACAAAATTCAGGGGAAGTTGTGGTGGAGATGGCAGTGGAGAGAAACAGTGATAGGCTGTGGAAAATCGAATATGGTAGAAATCTCTGGCTTTCTCCTTTAGATCGGGGTTTCTCACACTTGAACAAAATACAGACTCCTTTTAAGGGACAGATACTTATTGCAGAATCACAATGATAATGATATTAATTTATAATGTTAAGTAAATACACATGAAAATCACACTGTTAGAACTTCTTATGCTTTCAGCACTTAATATGACTATTGTGAGTTGAATTGTGTACCCCAGAGAGGTAGGTTGAAGTCCTAATCTCCAGCACCTATGAATGTGACCTTAACTGAAAATAGGGTCTTCACTGATGTAATCAAGGGAAGATGAGGTCCTAGTGGATTGGAGTGGGCCTTGATGCAATAACTATTGTCCTTAACATTATATGTTCTCATTCATTTGGGGAATATAAATAATAGTGAAAGGGAATAGAAAGGAAGGGAGAAGAAATGGGTAGGAAATATCAGAAAGGGAGAAAGAACATAAAGACTCCTAACTCTGGGAAATGAACTAGGGGTGGTGGAAGGGGAAGAGGGTGGGGGGTGGGGGTGAATGGGTGACGGGCACTGAGGGGGGCATTTGACGGGATGAGCACTGGGTGTGATTCTCTATGTTGGCAAATTGAACACCAATAAAAATAAATTTATTATTAAAAAAATAACTGTTGTCCTTAGAAAAAGAAGGAAATTTGAGTACAGAGACACAAAGACATATAGGGAGAATGCCATGGGACAATGGGGGAAGACACAGCTGTGAGCCAAGGAACACCAAGGAATGGTGGCAGCCATAAGGACCTAGAAGAGAAGCATGGAACATACGCTCTCTCAGATCCTCCAGGAGGAACCAACCTTGTCAATATCTTGAATTCCCAACCCCCAGGATCATGAGAGAATAACTTCCATTGTTTTAAGATACCCATTTTATGTATTTTGTTATAACAAGCCTAGAATATTAATACAATGACAAAAATAAAAATAAATGAATTACAGAATATTTGCTAACCAGTGAATTCAAACTATCATCATTAGTTCAGTATTTGGCATATCTGTAAGTCAAAAATTATTGACATTTGGCTAATGCGCATGGTCTAATCTAATAGGTAAAATATCTTTTTCTATCTTTAACCTCAATACCTTTATGTAAAAGAATGTTGTCAAAATAGTTTTAAAAATTGAAAGATTTTACTATTTTAGGGTAATCTGATCCAATTCTTTTTTTTTTAAGATTTATTTATTCATGAAAGACAGAGAGAGAGAGAGAGAGAGAGAGAGAGGCAGAGACACAGGCAAAAGGAGAAGCAGGCTCCTCGCAAGGAGCCCAATGTGGGACTCAATTCCAGATCCTGGGATCATGCCCTGAGCCAAAAGCAGACACTCAATCACTGAGCCACCCAGGCATCCTCTGATCTAATTCTTAATTTAAATTTTGCTCCTACTGGGCTTCAAAACACATTTAAATGGTGTTACTTGATACCATATAAAAGTTTTTGTTCACTTGAAGTTCAGTTTTGCTTTGGGGCATTACTGGATTTTAAATGAAGTGAGTATCTAATCAAATGATTTCTGGAACTGGGTTCAGAAAGTCCATTTGTTATATTTCAACATACCTGTTGATAGCAAACCACTGAAATTTATTATATAGCAATGGAGTATCCTTTGACAATGCATTTGCAGTAATTGGTATAGTATCAAATTATATGGTCAAGTTCTTTTGGCTTCTACATAGGAGTGCCTGTGTTACATCATTCAGTTCTCTCATGAATTTTACCAGTCAATGATTTCAAAACTTGTATTCATACAGCATACTTAGCCCTGTGAGGTCTCATTATAAATCCAAATGAGGTCACAGGCACTGAAGTCAGTTAGTACTCTGTTATTAAGTGATAATCTTACAGAGTCAGAATATTATTTTGTTTTGAGTTTTCACCATCATAGACAAATTTTTAAGATTGTCCATGAGAACTTATGGCCCTTTGAGAATATTCTTTTCAGTGAATATTGGTTTAAGGATTGTTGAAGTTTACCAGGCAGAGAAGGCAAGATGACCAAGTTAGTTTTAGATAAATGCATCTGGTAATGGAAAGCAAGGATAAATGAGAGGGGGGCAGGATCAGAGG